TTGATTTTGAGGCTGTTTGCCTTTTTTTTTTTTTTTTAGTGTTACTATGTTCTTATATCCTTTTATGAAATAATAGGGAGAAACAGGTGGTAATGTTTAAGTTTGTTTTGGCTACAAACATTTATATAAGACAACCCTATAGATATCTCCACAGTTTTATTTTAAACGTACAGGTCTGCGAAATGCAAAGGCCTGGTAAACACCAGCCAGGAGAAGGCGCGGTGAGCGGAGCCGGCGGCCAGGCCTCGCTCTGCAAGGCTGCCGGCCGGCAGTGCGCGCAGGCGTGCCGGTCAGCCAGCCCACCCTCCCCCTCGTGGGACAGTGCTGGCTGCACCTCCCGCCTTCCTTCGCACTGTCCTAGAGGACCTCCAGCAAGGCTTCAGAATGGGAAGCGATTCCTCGGAAGAGTCTGGAGACCTGTGGACACCACCATCACCCAGAGCGAACACACCAGGGAAAACAGCAGCGACCTGGGCACGGGCCCTACTGCTTACCAGCTCTGTCACCTCAGGCCAGTCCTGTAGTATCTCAGAGTCAAGTTCTTTCTCTTTCTTGTTATTGTTGAAAGTATTACAGATGTCCCCCCTTTTCCCCCATTGATCCCCTCCTCTCCACTCCTACCCCCTCCTGCTTTCCCCTTCCTAATGTCGGTGTCCAAGGTATGCATATATATTCTTTGGTTTATCTCTTCCCACCCCCCATCCCCCTGAGGTTTATTAGTCTGTTCCTTAAATTCCATCTGTTCTACCCATTTAAAGGGGCTATTGTAAGGAACAAATAACATATTTATGGGAAAGTACTTCTTAACTGATAAAATTGTGATTGCTTCATGGGCACAGGTACCAACATAAACTACTGAAATAGGCTGGGGATAAGAACGACAGGGCAGCATGTGTTTCAGCCACATGGCCCTGAGTTTGGAGAGAGGGTAGGATCAGAGACCACGGCACAGCACGAGTCCAGTATCTCAAGCTGATGGCTGTTCTCGGCTCTCGGGCACGAGGGAAGCTGTACAATCAAAGCTGCTGATTTCCTAAGGGAACCAGACAGCAAGCTTCATCTTCTATGTTCATAAAAACTCCTGATTAGTTAAATGTCAGCAACTGTTTAAAAACCTGGTGGGGGCCCAGCGGGTGAACATCAACCCATGCATCAAGAGGTCCCCGGTTCAATTCCTGGTCAGGGCAAATGCCCAGGTTGTGGGTCAAATCCCCAGTAGGGGGCATGCAGGAGGCGGCCAATCAATGTTCTCTTCATTGGTGATTCTATCTCTCTTTCCCTCTCCCTTCCTCTCTCTCTAAAAATCAATAAAGAAAAAACCCTAGTGGGGGCCATCTCGGAAAGGCCAAATAAAATGTGTCTGAGGGCCAAACTTGGCCCTGAGGTGCCCATTTGGGACTTCTGATCTGCAAATATATCCCACTGCTCCATGTTCAGCAGGATGCTCAGGGCAGGGGCCCTGCCCGCTCCCCCTGGGGCCTTCCCAAAGACTTCCCTAAGGGCTGGTGATCCGTGTGTGTCCTGACAGCGCCACGATTTTCCAGAGTTCTTCATGCACCTTCACGTGTGGACACTGTAAATAAGGCTTCATGAAAAGTTAGCTGGGCCTTGAACCAACCAGCAGGTCGCCATCTGGGAGTCCTCAGCAACAGTGAGTTGTCAGCACTGTAAACATTTTAGACTTCAGGGAAGACATTGACTTTTTCTAAGCTAATTACCTCTGCCAGTCAAGATTTGCAGTATGAGTTCAAGAACAAGACGTTCATTTAACAACAATAACAAAAACAGTGAGGATGAAAACTGGACGATCATCATAATAAAAGGCCTAAAAGCAAACTGTGACTGCCCTAATAAGGCGATGGCCAAAGTTGGCTCCCTGGCGGTCGAGCGCCAATACAATTAATCAGTCTGTTTTCAGTTTTCTCACGACAGCAATATTAACAGTTTGCTTTATTCTGTTTATATGGTGCTGACAAGTCTTCAGCATGTTGGGCCTACTTGCTGGAGATTAATGGCTACGCTTCTACTGAGGTAAAAACCAGGCAAGGAGACAATGCCTTTTACGACCAGATAAGAACTGGACTTTCTTTGCTCTTTTCTGTTCCCCTACTGCCTATCAACTGCTCTCTTCATTTCTATCAAGGATGTGTAAGATCAGTAGTGTCCAGAGGTTCTTCTCACTGTCTGAACCCCCCACCCTTGCTGTAGCCCCAGGTGAAACAAAAGGAACCTGGGGTATTGCTTTCGGGTAAGTTTATCATCTCTAAAGGTACAGCTGGCTAATTTTGTTTTAAAAAGTCAGATTCCATATAAAAGTGAAAACTAGGTAAGAGATGACCTCTGACAACAGGATATTAGCACATCAGGTGGGCGATGGTCTCCTTCGTGTGCATGGTTATTTCTGTAGACACTGAAGTAGACAGAATTTTTTCTTTTATTGATTTTTAGAGAGAGTGGGAGAGACAGAAACTGATGAGAGAGAACATCGACTGGCCACCTCCTGGTGCCCCCCAAGTGCCCCCCTTGGGGGATCAGGCCCACAACCTGGGCATGTGCCCTGACAGGGAATCGAACCAGCGACCTCTTGGTGCATGGGTTGACTGACACTCAACCACTGAGTCACACTGGCCAGGCTGAAGTATGCAGAATTGATAGTATGGCCCAGCTGCAAGAAGTATGAACATCCCAGAAAATCTCTTAGACATCTCTCTCAAAATAGTCATATTTAAAATAAATCAAAAAGATTTGAAATAACTCAAGAAGACCAGTCCCCCTTAAATCCCCTCTCCCTTAAAAAGGCTGTAGAAAGGATGTTTGTTGCTGGCGTATTTTGCTCTGTGCCAGGTTGGAAAGGCATAGTAACCTCAAGCATCTAAGTACAGAGAAACCAAAGTAACAAAAGTATTTGTGTGTGAAGTGCAAGACAGTTAGAGTAGAGCAATGCAATGAACTAGATTTGGGCAGATCTTGAATGCCATGCATGTTCTTTATTTGTCCTGTGCGAAGGTTCAGTTGGAAAGAAAGGGAGACAGATTAGACGGAGGGTGCTGCAATACCCCAAACTCTGGGCCAGGGTGCTGTGCTGGAAGTGAGGAGAGAATGGTCTGAGACTTACCCCTGAAACAGCACCACTAAATCTTTTTTGACTGATTAGATTTGGTCTGTAGTTCATTTGTTCATTCAACAACTATTTTTAAAGGTTTCGGATGGGTCAGACACTGTGCTAATTAACACATAGGAAAGCAAGAAAAGGAATTGGAAGATAACTCCTTCCTCTAAATTGGGCACCAGCCATTGTTCAGTGGTCTAAAGTGACGCTGTAATAGACATTCATCCTCCCTCCTTCCTTCCATTTATCCATGCGATACTTACTACACCTACCTCGTGCCAGGCACTGCCCTACACAATGGTCATGAACAAGTCCAGAGAAGAAAAATCAAGAGGAACAAAAAGACCTACTGTCTTAATTCTCACAGCCTTGGAGTGCCTTCTTTCTAGAATCTCTGTCCTGTCCTGGTGGCCCTAAGGCATAGTACACGGTGGTAAACCACCAGACTGTGGGAACAGCATAGGTATTCTTAGTCCTCCATGTGAAGGGAGGATCTCCTATTTAATTTCTAAATGTGTGCCCTGATTTGGCATATTTAACCAAAGTAAAACATTATATCAGAAAGGTATCTAACATAATTCCTATGTGCACATTTAAATATTGTCTAAATACATAGGCACGAGAAAAACCAGCTCTGAGGAAAGCCAAAAGGTCCTGAAAATAAAAGAACAAACATACTTTAATGTAAAAGGTCTTGTATATAGTTTAGTTGGTAAATTAGTTTGAAACATGTAATTCTACTGCCTTTCAGGGAAAGCCCTGATATTTTAACATTAAGATTTGCCTAGTCTTTATAAGAACAAATCCTGACCACTTTCTAGTGCTTTCTAAAAAACAACTAGGTAATAGATGACTACCATGGAGAAGTATTTTGCTTTATGGCAGCTGCCTTTTCATTATTATTTTATGAGAGCTTGTCTAGATATTATGTATTCTTCACCATCTACATTTAGTTCTTTTTCAAATGTCTTCTTCAGATGCCTGGGGTTATGTCAGTGTCTTTGGATCTAATTGGATCTCAAATAGCAAACTATATCACTTTTAAAACTTTCCAAAGGTTCTTATGCACGTAGGCGTACCTCCAAAATCCATGACTAATGTATGCTTTTGGTCATTTCTACTAAAACAAAAACATTAAAAGGTATTTTTAGAGCTTATGAACACCATCAACAATTATGTCAAGTATAAGCTAGCCCGCATATGCCAAAGTGAGAATTTAAATGCCAATAAAATCTAACTGTAAAGGAAGGAGTTTGATGAGAGCAGGAACATGTTCCCTTCAGTTTGGTTTCGAGGCTCTGAGCCTGGTGTGGACCTGTGTCCCATGGACTCGGAGATGACAAGCTGTGCGGGCAGCCCGCTCCCACGGGAGCGTGAAGGGGCAGGGCCCTGGGCCTGGGCCTTTGACCCCTAGCCCTACTGCCTGCATCCCTGTCCAAGCTTCTTTCTCTGTGGGAAATAAGATTTGAATAACCACCTACTTATTTCCTGCTGAAAAATGTTTTAAAGTTATGGAATATTTGAAACATGCTTATTTTTACTGATGATACATAGGAATTAAAATTCGGAAAAGTGTAGAACACCACAGAAGTGATCAATGAAGACACTGCCACAATCATCTCAAGTTAACCGATAAGTGAGAGACGTCTTCGCCGTCTGGGGAACGCGATCCTTGGGTTAAAAGCCTGCAGTTATGCTGAAATATTATTTTCATTTTGCTTGGCTCAACCTGATGGAGGACCATGGAGGAAAAAGTCAAAGATGAGCCCAGAGGGAGAACCACAGAACTGGAGCTGGTCTGTGTTGGAAAGGCCCCTGGAGATCATCTAACCATCCTCCCAGGGCAGGAAAGAAAAACAAACGGAAGCCATCTGACATTTATGACTCTTACCTTCGGCGCAGATCCTCGGCCACGGCTGCCCGGCAGCTGAACAAATAGGCTCGCAGCGATCTGAGCCGCTGCCGCAGCCGCACCACGGTGGCCAGCGGCTCGGCGTGCAGGTACAGCATGGGGTTCTCCCGCTGGATGTCGATCAGGGGCTCTTCGTACACGTACTCCAGAAACTCTTTGGCCTGCTTAGACACCTACAAAATCAATGTCCTCAATGAGTTCTGGTGAGTCATCCAGCTTTCCACGCCGCCTCAAGCTAAGAACCACAGCTTAACTATCCCAGCCAAACGGAAAAGCCGTTTCACTAAATATAAATTCTGGCTTCTCTTTCTCTCTCCCAGAAACTCAACTGGTAAAAGTAACCTGGGCATTGAAAGAAATTCATTAATTCTGTTTCCTGATTACATGAATCTACAGATGTGATAAGATGACCCAGGACTACAAAGACCCAGTATACTTATGTCAATTTTCTTTTTTTAAAAAATATTATATTTTCGTTATTTAAGGTGTAACCAATGGGGAAAACTAGGTGAAAGGGATATAAGACCTCTCTGTACTACCTACACAACTTTCTGTGACTCTCTAATTATTTGAAAAAAAAAAAGGAATTACGACAACTGGTTTTAAAAATACATATATGTATATACATATATATGTACATCCTATAACATTTTTATAAGCAGCTGTTTTCAAAAATAGATAAATCATGCACATATTATAAAATTAAAAATAAATAAAAGAATATTTCAAAAATATTACTTGCAGAATAATTTCAATGCATAGAAAGGCTCAAACACACACTTTAGTGAGCAGAAAGGAATTTCTCTTTTAGGACAACTTTAAACCTGGGCCGCTCTAGCATATTCATGCAACTCAGTATCTATCTCTGGTAGTAGAGGACAAAAGTTGATTGTGAAATGTCATTGTCATCAGCAGAAAAAAATAGTAGAAACATAATGCATCAAACAGACAGAGGGAGTTGTATAAATAATGCATAGACACTGGTAATCTGGGGGAATCTACATTCTTCTTCACTGATACTGAGACATGGATTCACTGGCGATACAGAGAGTTGGCTTAGTTTCTATTTATAGAAGGTAAAACCCCTTCATCAAGTTTCCTCCAAACCCTATCCAGTACTGGAGGTAAAGCTGGAATTCATCATAAAAACAAAATAAACAACTTTGCTTATTAAAAAGAAAATGGAAAATCCACTGTTTCACACTGTAGGCTAGAAGCTTACAAATGCAGTTAAATAGAATATAGTCCCTACCTTCAAGGGACTCACTGTTTGGTACAACAGACAAAAATTTAAAACAAAATATACATGTAACACATAGCCTGTTATTTACTACACACACACACACACACACACACACACACACACGCAATATGGATAAGGTCCACTGGTAGATTAAAGGAGGGAGAAATCAACTATGCTGGGGGAGGAAGCTAGGAGCCAGGGCCGGCCTGGTAAAACAGGTCACATTGGCTCGAGGTCTAGGAACATAAATAGAAATTCACTTGGTGGGCAACGACGGGACAGAGGAGATATAACAAGCAGACACAGCCATGAAAACCCATCAGTATGTGCACGTGATAACTAAATGTATGGCTACTGCATGTTGATTAAAAACACATGTTTATGAAATTCAATATTATCATTTTCTTTTATTGTAAAGCTCACATAAAAGTTTATGTTCCTTACAGAGATGCAAAATATGCATCAATTTTTTTCTAATGAAAGTATCTTTCTTTCCCCCTGAAAAGCAATCGTTTTTGCGGTACCTGCTGTGCTGTGTAACCCTCTGGGGCCCTGCAGAGTTAGAGCTGATGGAGTTTACAGTTCTCTAACTCCAGCTCACAAAGAAGCACCTAGATTTCGCCAAAACCTTTGACTGCTTTACCAGACACGCCTCACTCCGGGGCCGAGGCCCAGGTACACGCCAGGCACTGTGGTAAGCACTGGGAACACACCAGGTGTGGCCCTGTCCGCATGCAGCTCACAGTTCAGAGGGGAAAGACAGACTTGGGTTCGAACAGATTTTATTTATCATGGTTAAATATTTGCGATATTTAAATATCTTAAACGAGGGAAAAACGAATGGTGTTCTGAAAAATGAAGTACAATCCACTTGAAACTGTTGCTGAAAAATGATGTATTGTACAATTCAATTAGTCTTTCTGGCTCTATTGAGCAGTGTTTATACTGAGTCAGGGCCCTGCTGAATTAGGTTAACAATGCTACCTTTTAGTAGGTGAACAGAAGGACAAAGGGCACTGGCCAGTCTCCCAGGCCTTAAAAGGCTTCTCTCTTCAGGTGGCACTTAAGCCCGAAAGGAAAAAAAATAAAAGTCTTTTACAGAGACAGTAAAAGCGGTAAGACAAATGGGGCAGCAGCTACTGACATCAGCATTCATAAACCGACATCACTAAAAACAAACACCCAGCCGGTTTCAGTCCTGTCTGGGGCTCTGCTCCCGGGGTTATTAACGAGGGTTAGGAACACGGAGCACGTCGTGGCGAGGCGGCGGCGCGAAGGAATCCCTCCCCGCCGGGCTGGGCCGCTGGCCGGGACGCTGAGCACATGCTCGGTTTTGAGAATCAATCACTGATGTGGGGAGGGAATTTCTGAGAGAACTCAACATTCGACATGAAATGCACTTTCCCCCGAAGTTCTAAATGGCCCTCCATGCTGGTATGAGGATTCCACTTTCAAACTTGAGTGTAATTTAAAAGCTTTTTAAGGAAGAAACTGTTTAAAATATATATAGTTACTTAGGGAAGGAAGCCAATGACACTCTTAGGTGATAAAGTTTATGTGACAGAAAGTCGCTTTCTTGTTAATATAAATATTGCACGAGTTATATGTGAGCGCTGAAGGTATTTCCCCTAAAAGCCAAGAGCTACTGTCCTACTTCTTTCCAACCAAATTTATGAAAAACGTGCAACGCCGGAGTGCTGTCTGATGTACATGGACACTCAGCTCACGGGCGCAGACGGATGAGCCCCATACTCTTTCTTTAAAAAATAATGAATGGTTTTGCTTGGCATGCTTTCCACGATCCCACTCCATTCACACTGGAAACAATTTTTGCAGGGTCAATAGCTCACTGACCTATTAGTATTTTACTAAATAATATTTAATGTTTATTAGGAATATAAATGAAATTCTTTCCACAGCTCTTCTGCCTTAGCACAGAACAGTTTAAGCTACAAGAACTCAAGGCTGGGACTGGGTTACAGTGTGTGAGCTGGTTCCTCTTCACAGCCTTGCCTCCACATGACTCCAGAGAGCGGAGGAGGAGGCACTCCAGGTGGAAACAGGTCACCTCCCACCTCACTCACGAGGCATTGGAGAAAACAGCACAATCACAATAATTAGCTCTAAATTAATAATGACCAAATCTGCCACATACACATACGTATTTGTACATAAACATACTTGTCATTTAATTGGAACATTAAGCATCCTTGGTACATAGATTTATTAAGCTGGTGACAGCTAGCTCTTGAAAACAAAGTTCTTGAATGTTGTTCAAGTTTACATAGTTCTGAGAGAGGTTCTGGAAGAGTGCACAAGTATGTTCCCCCACCAACACATCCTGGGAAGTAAAGCAGCGGGCAAAGGGAATGTTTCACCACAGGTGGCGAGTTCGAGATGAGGTGGTGGTGCTGGCGGAGGTGGTGGTATTGCGGACTTTAGTTTTTGTTAAAGGAGAAAAATGCACCAGAATAAAACAGATAAGAACAGTCTTAGAATAACAAGGACTGGTACAGATAATCTACTTTAGTTTTTCTCAACCTGTGTTCCAAGGAATACTAATCCTACAAAAAAGATGTTCTGAGGTCCAACGTGAAATACGCACACGCTGCATTCTTCTCTTGGTGATTCAAAGTACAGCATGTTAGCATATTAAAGCTCTGGACATCTTGAACTAGAGAAAACCTGCTTACGCCAGCCACTTCCCAAACCTATTGACTATAGACAAGGCAGCTGTTGAATGTTGAGCAGGCTGTATGGGGGTGGGGGTGCGGTGGGAGATGAAATCCAGCCTGGGCTCCACTCACTAGCCAGAGGAAGGGGCGTCCTTCTGTGACCCGCTTCATCCTCCTGCTAAGCTGTGAGCTCCCAGGGCTGGGCTCTCCTAGGGGCCCTGTTCCATTTATAGGGCTGGCCTCCCTGTGGCCCGCCTATGGAACCCTCTTTTTGAGTAACAGCTATTAACATGCACAGAACTTGTTAATGTTTCATGGAACACACTTTGTGAAATGCTGAACTAATCTATTACCTGTGTTTAATAGAAAAAATTAAGTTCAGAGAGCTTAAGTGACTTATCTGTGATCATGTGTGGCAGAATTAGAAACAAATGTCAGAACTCTGAATACTCTGTGCTTGTTAGCACTGTTTATATTCACAGTTCTTTTTATTATTTATTCTTTAATTTTTTATCTTCACCCAAGGATATGTTTTTATTGATTTTTAGAGAGAGAGAGAGAACACTGATGTAAGAGAGAACATCAGTTGGCTGCCTCCCGTATGCACCCTGACTGGGGATCAAACCCACAACCTAGGTATCTGCCCTGACTGGGGATCAAACCAGCAACTTTTTGGTGTATGAGACAATGCTCCAACCAACTAAGCTACCCAGCCAGGGCTTCCTTTTATTTTTTAACAACTCTACCATAAGCGAACCTGCTCATCTTTAACAGAGATCCCTGTGCTTCCCTCCTCCCCAGTCAAATAGCAAGCAAATGGGCTACAAACAGAGACTAACCTATAATATAATTAGGTAGTACACTGGCATGTAGGTTCCCATTGGATTTTTACCTCTAAAACAAAAACTAAAGTCCAGTCACACTTCATTTATCTAGAATTCTCTTGTTTGTGTATTTGGTGTCCCTCGGGAGAAATCATGAGGCAGAGACCATGTCCCAATGCCTAGAATGGCGAGCACAGTCACCGTTCGATAAATAGTTGCTGAACAAATGAATGAGTACTTCACAAGACTCTGGCCGTGACTCCGAACCACACCCCTACTGCAAACACTTCTGACAGCTTGGTTATCTGTTTCCCAGTTCACAACATATTTAGGGGCCATAAAGTAGGAAAGGCAGCACAGTGACAACAGACTGACAGCTGACACCTGGTACTAAGGGAAGAAAGGCACCTGTAAGAAGATACAAGTGAAAG